TTGCTTTATTGGAACAATTGATGCTAATTAGCTGGAGCTGAGAAATTAGTGGTGATTAAGAAAAGGTCAGCATATATCTAGGAGTATTTCTTCAAAATCAGCACACAGAAATAGTGGTCCAAATGGGATGAAGCTACTTCTCATGCTGGTAGCTGAACTGGGTACTCTAAGTGTCATCCAGATGGTACTGGTTTTGAAGGCATAAAGGGGTCGTGGAGCAGCTGAGGCTTGGCACTGTGTGACAGAGCTAAAGTCTCTGAAAAGAAGTTTGGAGAGGTCATTGGAGAAAGTGCAGCACAGCGGCAGTATAGATTCTAGCATTTTGAAAATGCCAGTACCATGGGACAACCATCAAGGACAGCAGGGGCCTTGGAGTGGAGCCAGCCTGAGCCTACAAGATGAGCTGTGTGTGTTGTGGCAAGTTCTTTGGAGTCTAGAAGATAGTGAATCCCAGAAGTCTGGAACTGAGCTTTAACTGTTGGACTTTGGTTTTGCCTTGATTTACTGTGATTGTTCCCTGTTCTTCTAAGGAAGAACTCAATTTATTTTTACTTTATAGGAGCCTACAGTTAAGAGAGTTTGAACTTTTGAAGAGACTGAAATTTTAGCAAAACTTTAAACTTTAGAGAGACTTTGAAATATTAGAAAGATTCTGAATAAAATCATAAAATAAGATTCTGGACTTTTAAGTATTAGAATTTTTAAAGACTGTGGTATCTATAAATGTTTGGAGTGTTTTGTGTTGCAGTATTAATATTAATATGAGAACTTGCAATGAACCAGGAAGGAACAGTTACGATTTAACATTGATGTGTTTTGTTAGTGTGTCAAGTTGATAAGGGGTCAGTCATACTGGCTAGCTTTATGCCAACTTGACACAAACTAGAGTCATCTGGAAAGAGGGACCCTCAGTTGAGAAAATGACACCACCAGACTGGCCTGTGGGCAAGCCCGTGATGCATTTTCTTAATTGATGATTGATGTGGAATGATCCAGCTCGCTGTGGGCAGTACCACCCCTGGGCTGGTGGTCCTGAATGCTATAAGGAAGCAAACTGAGAAAACTATGACGAGTCAGCCAGTAAGCAGCACTCTTCCACGGCCTCTATATCAATTCCTGCCTTTCAGGTTCCTATGCTGAGTTTCTGCTCTGATTTCCTTGGATGATAGACTTATAATATGTAAAGTGAAATAAACCCTTAAGTCAATTTTAGCCACCATGCTTTATCTCAGCAATAGAAACCCTAACTAAGACACTATATATGTATATACAAAATAGTCAAAAAACAAATTTAAGAGAAGATTTTTTAAAAAAGGTTTTAAAACAATATTTTTAAATAGGGGGAATGACATTACTTATCATCCTGCCAGACGATGTGAAAAGGTTCTATGAAATGAAAGTTTCCTATTCTAAAATGTGACCCTCTTTGAAATGCCTGCCTTCCAATAGGCTGGGCACATTGCATAGAAGCAGCTCCATACAGGTGATTCCTGGGACTGAGTTTTGGACAAATTAAAGTTTTGCAGAACCATATTCAAGACAAGATTACACTTGAAAGTCAGAATGTACACCTGAATGCCGTAGGGCACTCAACTGAAGTCCTCGACTTTTATTAAGTACTTTCCCTCCACTCTTCTCTATTCCTCAGGGAGATCTTTCATTTCATCTGTTCCCTTTCTTCCTGAAGGAAAATTTTTCTTTTCAAAATAAGTTTAAAACAGTGAGAACTCTTATCCACCATTCATTTCTAAATAAAGAAGAAAGGCATGCCAACGCAAAACAACCGAATCAGTCTTCATCTCTCTTTGAATTCTAGCCAAACCCTCTTAATGTGGACAAGATACAGTAAGTGACAAGGATATGGTACAATCTGGCTTTTATGTACTGTGCTGGTTAGGCCCATTTGCAAATAGGCATCTTTACATCTGTCTATGTGGAGAGCTTGTTTTCTCTATATTTGGGCAGAGACCACTTGAATCTCTACAAAACCACTACCTAGATGACGAACTGTGATGTAGACCAGAGAGTCTCAGCCAAGGTCACTGAGGACAGAGATCCACAATGAAACCACACTGTATTCTTTAATTTTTCAAACTTACACATTCTCCTGCACCCCTTTCATTGCATATGATTTATGTTTCGTTGATTCTGCTACAAGCCTGGAATGTTTACACAAAGGCTTAATAGACATTTACTTTGGAAGTTACATTGTGAGATAGAATCAAGGAATTGGCCCATTGCCGAAGTCAAAATGGGAGGCCACCTGGAAGTTAATGATCACTTTGCAAACACCAGAGGCATGGAACAGAAGGTTCCAGGAGAGTCAGACCTCATGTGATAACCATATTGCTCTCAGATTTATCTCTCTGGAACAACTAAGGAGAAAGTCATGTTCAACACAGACATCCAGATAACAATGCTCATGATACACACTCAATAGCTCGATATCTTAATACCATAATTTCATGTTGTGCTGTGCTTTACACAGTTTGTATCCGCTTTATGTGGCAGCTAAAATAATGCTTTACAAAAAAGTTCCTGAAACCTTAAATGCCAATAGTTCATGCTGAGCTCAGCTTGAAATACAAAAGAATTGTGAGTCTTATCTTATAGATGGGGGAACTGAAACAGAATCAGTAGTCCATTTACTCCATATTATGTGTTATGTAACTGGTTAAAAAAATGATAAGGGTTTCTAGAAGCAACTTCATCACTGTCCCTCAGATGTTTGAGGAAGCTACAGCCTTTTTTATGATTCAGCCAAACCCCAAAATATTTATTAAGCAATATTAATTAGTATTATAGAGCTGAGTGTAATAGATGATAAAAATAAATGTAACCTCTTTGAGATTCTAACCTAATTGGGAGAAAATTGTGCATCTTTATGCAGTTTATCTTTGTAGTCAGAGTAAGGAAAAGTTTTTCTAAGAAATTGCCTATATACACCGATATACACAAATAAACATATCCCTTTATGTGACAATCATCCACATGGCATCCCAAGAAGAGTGACTACTTCAAAGAAAACACTCAATGGAATCTTCAGGAATAAAACAATATTCCATGCCCACTTAAAGAGGTGATGCTAAGCTCACAGGCATCTGAGGAAAAGTAATGCTTCAAGAAAGTAAGCAAGAACTTGCAGAATAGAAAAGGCACAACTGAGCTGCTGTAGAAGGGCAACTGATGAAAAATGGAATGTGAAGGGGAGGAGCAAAGCAAACAGTGTGGCCACATAGAGTCTTAGAAGGCACAGGAAAGGGTTAGACTTGGAGCCTCTTCAAAAGGTCAGGAACATGGCCTTGCTTATGTTTCAAAAGGCATCTTTTGAAGTGAATGAAAGGTTAGAAGGCAGAAAGGTCTGCAGCAGGCTTCTGAGAAGGTGACAGTATTTAAAATGGTTGGATTCAAGAGAGTTTGTAGCTATGTCTTCCACTGGATTTTCCAGCAGATGGAAGTGCGAGAAAGGGATGCATCAAAGGGATTAAAAGGGATTTAATTTCTGCAGTTTGGACATCTGGAAGAATGAATTTACCACAATTTTACAGAAAAGACTAAGAGTAGAGCTTGTGAAAAAGTGACTTCTATAATCCTCCTAATGTGGGAGACTGGATGTTAGCAGGGTCATCCATTGAAGCTACAGTTTGGGTCTTTGCACATACTGTCAAGCTAGCCTAACACCCATTACATCTGTGGTCTTTATGGGAGTCTGAACCATGCTTCTTACTTCACTACATCTCTTGCTGGCTCAGAACACAGCAGGTGCACACACTGGGTAACAGAAAATGATAATTCCAGAAATGCAGTGAAGAAAGAGGTCATTCATCATCAAGCTTAACTGTTTGCTTGTTCTTTGGTGACTTTTCTTCCTGTTACTAATTATAAATAAGTTGACATCTTTTCTCCTTTATTTTTCAGGCTTCTGTTTCTGTAGTCATATTATATTTCATATCTAATAAAGTCCAGTTAGATTCTAAGCAAACAAAAAAAGGCATATGGAAGAAAGTTCATTGTGGCCTTAGTCATAATACCCCCCAAATGGGAATGACCTAGATGTCTTCCAGGAGAAAAGAAAACCAAAGCATGGCCCAGTCAAACAAAAGAAAAGTTCTCAGCAATGCAAAAGAATAAACTACTACTATACACAAAACATGGATAAATCTCCAAAGATATGAATGAATAGAAAAGATTAGGCACAAAAGAGGATTACTTTGTGATTCCATTGGTAGGAAGTACAAGAAAAGGAAAAACTACTCCATCAGAATGGAGGTCAGAGCATTGGTTTCCTCTGGATCAACCAGGCATGGTGTCAAAATGAACATTCTCAATATAAGTATTCTGAATTTGGCTGCAGATATTGGTTACACATGATGATGGATACATAAAAGTCCATCCAGTTATGTAGCCTCAAAGTTCACTATAATATTGAATCCAAATTATGTTGTAGAATATTATTTTAAGGTGTGTTACTTTTGTTAATGTTGCATTTGTTTAACTCTGTGAAGCTGTGTTACATGACTGTCCAAAACACCTGATGGTCTAATAAAGAACTGAACAGCCAATAGCAAGGCCAGAAAAAGGATAGGTGGGGCTGGCAGGCAGAAAGAGAAATATCTAGAAAGAGAAATCTGGGAGAAAAAGAGATTTAGGAGCAAGAGAAAGAGGAGGACATCAGGGGCCAGCCACCCAGCTACACAACCAGCAATGGAGTAACAAAGAAAGGTACACAGGAATAGAAAAGGAAAAACCTGGAGGCAAAAAAAAATAGATGAGGATAATTTAAATTAAGAAAGGCTGGCAAGAAACAGGCTAAGCTAAGGCCAGACATTCATAAATAAGAATACGCCTCTGTATGTGATTTATTTGGAAGCTGGGTTGCATACACACACACACACACACACACACAAAAAAAAAAAAAAAGAGTAAAGAAAACAACCAACAACAAAAGTATGCTTTAATACTGCAAACAAGAGATAGGGGCATTACACATTACAATGTTGCCTATCATACACCATAGCATGGAACAATTCTGGAATGAATATTTTGTACTTCAAAACTAGAAATAGGAAATGTACAGACTTGGTCTTCTGATCTCCGTAGCTGAATTTATGTCTATTTATGGCCCTTTCCACAGGGCCTTCTTTCATCCACCTCCCATCATGCTTATTCAATCCAAAGACTGGTTAGCACCAGCCCTTGGCCTGTTCTGCTTCATGTCTAGACCTGATACATCTCAGAGGAAACAGGAGCCATCACTGACCAAGCTGTATTTCTTTCAGCCCCTCTCTGCCATGTCCGCCTGTGACTGGACTGCCCCTTTCCACACTCCTTTTAACTTTGAGTGTCTTCTCTCTCTGAACTTGCAGAGCTCCTTACTTTTAATCTTTAGTCAGCTCTGGGTGTTCTAAACCCCTAATACCTTTCTTGACTCTCAAATCCCCACCACACACTCCTATTAGACTTCCCAGGGGAGTTATGGAAAGCCCTTCATGGGTAGAGTATTCTCTCTCTAAACCTTGTAAGTTAGGTAGGATTTGTCAGATAGCTAACCACTAGAGTAAATACTTCATTGCCAAGGTTAGGACCAGTCTAGTCTATCACAGAGTGGATGAGAGGGAGGGCTTTCTATAGTAAATAAGATGGCAAGTTGAAGACATATTTACCTTCAGGTGGAATTTGTGCCCAGTGGTTAATGGAAATTGTCTCCTGATTTGAATGACTAGCCTTCCTTCACTTCCAAACTTTTGTTGGAAAACAACCAAGAATATATACTCCATAGGAAATTTTGAAAGAAGTAACTTTGGGGCCAAAATTTAAAATTCCTTAAGTCCAGACATGTTGGCACATGCCTGTAACCCCAGCAATAAGGGGCTGAGGCAGAGAGATCATGAGTTCGAGGGCATTCTGGGCTACATAAATGAATGTCTCAAAACAACAACAAAAATACTTGTCTAGGAGCTTACATGTAATTCCCATGGGATGCAGCCAGGAGGCTGACTATAGTCTTGTCCTGCATACCAAGTCACTCCCAACTCTCTGTCCCCCTGGTTCCAGGGTGGTTATACATCAGAACAGTGGCATATTAAACTGACTTACTGTTCTTGCCATCATGAAATGACTAGTAATTTTGGAACAAGGGCCTCACACTGGGCTCTACAAGTTACATTGCCAATCCTGACTTTTTTTTTTCAGCTCAGTTAGCAAACTAACTCACTGCTTATTTTAAAACTCACTTCAAGTCTCTGCAGCAGATAGAAGCTGATCGACTAAGACACTGTCAAATCCCCATGGAGACTAATATTTTCAGTGCGTAACTGGAAGAAGGTTGGGTTTCTAGACCTGGACACTCTCCCAAACTGGAAAAGATAATGACCTCTCTAAAAATCAAAGACAAAGATCATGGATTTTTAAAAAGGTATTGAAAAAATAAGAATTTAATAGAGCTTTCATTCTGCTTTAGGGATGACATGAATTATATACTCATGACTGTAGAACTATCTCATCAGTCATAGTGTCAAGTTGTTGAGCAGCACCTGTTACCTGGAAGATTCCTCACTCCCCACTGATCATTCAAGAAGATGTGGTGATGCCGCTGGATGGGGCTACAAACCAGCTTTGAACTGAGGTTCACAGAAGTGAGAAGAGGAATTGGGGTACCCCAATGCATCATGGTGTCTCCCCATTCCTCTACAGCACTAAAGATATGTCACAGAGTCATTTGACCTCTGGCTACTCAACCAGGCTCCTCTCGTCTCCTCTCAAGCTCTGATCATTGCAATGTCATGTTCCCTGGATATTTCAAAGCAATTCATTTCCCCCTTTTCTATCTCCCCTCCTTTCACGCCTTTCAATGATCTCTCAGCATGTAATGTCCTCTCGCCCTTTGCCAGCAGCACAGTCAAAGGGGCTGGGCAGAGTGAACATGCAAAGTGGACCTTGGAAGCCAGAGGGCTAGGTGCCTGCCACCGCCCCTTTATCATTAATGGGGCCTTTATTCACAGCCTTCTCCGTTGTCTTCATTCTCCTCCAACTGTTTTCTTCCCTGCTTCTTTGCTCAGAGAGAGATGACCTCTCCACCTACTTCCCTGGGAAAATTGAGAACATCTGATGAGAACTCCCACAGTTTCCTCCCAAGCTCCTTCAGTTTTCTTTGGATCATCACCCAAACTTTCCTCCTTCCCTCTCATCTTGGAAGAAATGTTCCCTGCCACATGGACAGGTTAACCCCTTCACCTGCCTCCCACCATGCTGGGCTTCCCTTCAGAGACCATGGTCTCTCTTTTTTCTCTGCTGGTGACTTGTTCAGTGCAACAACATGGGCTCAAATCTTTTCATTCAAAGATAAACAAACATACTCCCACCAACAACGTTCCCCCCTCAGCTACACTCCATGCTAGCTTGTCCTTTTCTACCGGCCTCTTCATCGTTTCTGTCTCCTCTCCGTATGCTCTTGACAAAGCAAATCATTGTCAGATACCAAATTCATCACTAAATGTTGAAAGCATCAGATCAATGGGAAACCTACTTCTTGTTCTCCCTCACCTTGCTTCATTTTCTCTTCTGTTACACAAAATTGTCTTTTCAGAGGCCAAATCTGGTGGTGCATACCTATAATCCCAGGAGGCTGAGGCCAGAATATTGTAAGTTCAAGGCCAGCCTTAGTTATCTTGTGAGGTTGAAGACAGCCCATGTGATATAATAAGGCTCTGTCTCAAAAATAAATAAATAAATAAATAAATAAATAAATAAATAAATAAATAAATAAATAAATAAATAAATAAGAAAAAAGTCTCTTTTGGGTGACTACTACTTTATAAATACAATGTGGCTCTTCCATGTGATACCTTCAGCTTGGTTCCTTCTGTTCTGGATTGTCTTAAACATTCAGGCAGGGTATAGATCTGAGAATTTCAGAACCACAACTTATCTTATTTCTATGAAAACTGGTTGGAATTTTGACAGGGAGCGCACTAATTCTGTAAGTCTTTTAATGTACTACCGACATTTTAACCATGTTTATTGTTTCAATTCATAAGCACTCCGCATATTTCCTTAAGCTTTTTTTCTTTAATGCTTGCATAGATGTCTATGCAATGAAAGCCTCTCACATTAACCAATGAAACAGAAGAGTCCAGAGATGAATGCATAATCCCCACATTTTCAATCAATTGGTTATCAACAATGGTCTATGGACAGTTGAATGACCACATGCAGAAGAATGACATTTAGTTGCTGGGTTTTTGTTTGTTTGGTTGATTGGTTTTGGGTTTTTGTTTCTAGATTGGTTTTCTCTACTTATTTTTTTGTTGTTTCTCTTGTTTATTATTTGTCTGAAAAAGAGTCATACCATGGAGCCCAGGCTTGCCTGGAACCTGCAATCCTCCTACTTCAGCCCCTGCCCCCACCATATTGAAATTATAAACTTGTACTACCACACCCCTTAAAATCCAAATCTTATTTCCCACAATGTGCAAAACTCCTTTCAAAAGCTGAGCAGACCTAGGAGGGCCACCCACTCAGAAGTACCCCATCTCAAGATGAGGCCTTCCTTCCTCTTTTAGTGACGTTAGCTCCCTTCCAACTTCCCCTACTATTCATTTAAAGGGTCCTGCAGTGTCTTCTATATTCTTTGTCTGTAACAACAAAATTTATTCCCACAATACCTCATTGGCCTGCCCTCTGCTCTCCTCACTGTTGTTTATTCCATGGCTCGGTTCATTGGCTCCTACCCTCACCACCCCCACCACCCCCCGGTGCTATAGTTTACTTCTGGTATCAGCCCTAAATTCCTAACACCTGCTAAGTACCTTAGCCTGACATCTTCTGACCTCTTTATGGGTATGGCACACTGGTTCCTCTAGATATAACTAAGAGAATTAGTATGACTTTGATGCAAGGCACCTTGATGTGTGGCTTTAGGGGAGCTTCTATTCTAGCAGGGGCATGCACTGGCTCACCAAGTCTGTATACAAGGTTTCACCTGCTTGGAGCAAAAGCAGGAGGCAGGGGACTGACTCAAAGTAGCAAAGATTCACTTGCTCTGTGTTTGGCATGGTATGTATGTATGCCTCACAGTCCTCTTAAAAAACTACACTGTGCATGATATTGATAGCAGACAGTGACACTTCCTAAAATTAGATAAACATTGCTTGCACACCTAAAGATATAAAACTAATTAGTTACTTTGGCTTCGAGTCAAGGCGCAATGGTGTATGAAACAGGAAGTGATGGGGTGTCTGGCTTGGGCACTGTGGATCAAGAAAAGCTGTGACCTCTTTTCCACTTATTGTTCACACTGGAAATGCTTTCCTTCCATCAATTAAAAGACACATGTGCATTCTGTCCCTCCAATTATTTGTGTCTGTTAATTATCTCCCTCTGATTCAGAATTACTTTCCTTAGTTCAAATGCCTGGCTCTGCTTTCCTAATCACATATCCCCAAGTCCCTAGAAGCTCTGTGAGTGATGCATTTCTATAAGACTCTGCTGTTGCTATTCCCTTTCCCACATTAGGAAAGTTAGGAAGAGTTAAAAAATATTTGGCCATGTATGTGTCCTACCCTCCCACCAGAGGGGAAAATAGCTTTCTTGAACAAAGGAGAATTAAAGAAAGCTCCCTTCCTCCACCAGGAGGCTAGATTCCCATTCAGAGCCTCCAGCTCATTCCAAACCTCGCCCTGAAATCAGGGAGGCCTGTATGTACCCTTGGGATGCTCACCACCTTCTCGGCATGACCTGCAGCATTCACAGCTTCCGAGTATCCTAATCTATTCCATATTCCAGCAGGCCTTCAGAAAGGCAAAGTAATCTTTCTCACACGGTCACTCCACACTTGCTTTCCCACTCACATCCGCTTGGCTTTGAGAGCAACAGGCAAATTGAGTTCTGCTCTCCCTGGTGCTGTGTAGCTCCTCAGCCTTGGCTTAATCGAGGTACTTCTTTGGAAATAAGCCACGTACAAAACAGCCTGCCAAAAGAACAGGGGGAGCTATGGAATTGCCTTCTCCCAGATTAAGTGGAGTACCTAATCACAGCCATGCCACAGCTGTTAGAGAAATAAATATAAAGAGCAGAAAGCAATAAAAGGGCCTGTGTCTACACAATCAGATGCTGCTATTGCTTTCCTCTAATGACCACTGTGTGCCATTTTCAATCAAACTCCACTTCTTTCAAGCTCATCTGCCAATAAGGACATTGGACTTGAGAGTAGAGTACTGATCTGAGAAATTCCCAGGATACAGAGTGAAGCAAGCATTACTCATCAAATTGAGCCATTGGTGTGACTACCTGCTAATCCTGTATTTTTTAGCTATGCCTTACCAATTTATCAGGCCATCCCAACTCCACCTCTGCCATGTGTCCCCAGTCCTGCTTACCTCTACCTCCAAGACTATTTGAACTCAAGGCACTATCAGATTTTGCCTGGAATGTAAAAGTTGGTCAGTGGTTCTTAGTCAGATCTTTCTTTTCCTTATAGTTCGTTCTTCACATTGCAGCTGGAGAAAGCATTCTTGTGTCTAAATCATCGTCCAAAGTGTTCCCAATGCCTTTGGAAAAAGCTTTGTGTCCAGCCCACAGAACTTTCTTTAGGCTGTCCCTGTCTCCCCTCATTTATCCTTATCATAGGACACCATTTCACCCAGTCTGTTTCAGTCAGGCTAATGGCCCTTGTGCTGTTTTCTCATGATATCAGCATTTTCCCAACTGTCATAGCGCCCCTCCCCCGCCCAAGGCTGAGCCTGTAATGAGGATTCTTCTGTATGTGTAGTTTGTTGAAGCCTTACAGAACAAATGAATGAGTTAGGGAAACAAGAGAAAAAGGAGATACCAATAAAAGTTCCTACTAAAGATCATGCTCAACCTTGTAGTCTCATGGCCCTACTTGAAGCAAGAGACTGGCATATTATACCAATCCGCCTTTGGCTATGGTTCCTTCCTGACTCAGGCCTTTTCCTCCAGTGGAGGCAATTGCAATCATGAACAGAGAGCAGGCAACACTCAGAAGAGCTGGGGGTGGCAACTTGCTACAGCAAAGGGGATCTAAGACATCGACCTTTATACTAAATCCACTTTCAGAACTTCTTTTAGTTGCCTCTCTCACTGGAAACACTCTTGGCTCAGATCTTCCTATCTACCTTGTTTTTCATTATCATTTATATCATCTTATTTAAGCAGAAGAACCTGGCAATCCAGGGAAAGTAGCCACCACACTACACTGACCTCCTAGTTTGCCAGTCTCATTGTCTAATATCCCTTTGCACTCTCTGAAATAGGTCTTATTTAATTTTTAATTGACCATTTACTGACTGCCCTCCAGGACCCAGATTTGTAAATCTAACAGTAAAGTCACAAGGCTCTGGAATCAGACATCTTGGTTCATCTCTGAGTCTGGTTCAATTCTGAATCTATCATTTATAAGCTATATAATGTTAAGCCAGTTGATTCATTTCTTGTAATGCCAGATTAATCAGGTTATTAAAATGATTAAATGAACTGATTAAAGTACTTTGGGAAAGTGCCTGATGTATATAAAAATCCTTCCATAAAGGATAGCTTAGGGGGTGCCTAGCATATGAATGAAAGAATACATGAATGAATGGATGAATGAATGAATGATTTCTCTAGTAATTTAAACTATGATTATGGTGGTTTGAGTAGGAATGGCCTCTATAGGCTCCTATATTTGGATGCTAGGTCATTAGGGAGTAGTGCTACTTGAGAGGGATTAGAGGTGGTAGGGTCTTGTTGGAGGAAATGTATCATATCACTGTGTATGTGTGTGTGTGTGTGTGTGTGTGTGTGTGTGTGTGTGTGTGTGTGCGCGCGCGCGTGTTGGGGGGCGGTCAGAAGCCCAAGTGAGGCCCAGTGATTCTATTCTATTCCTCCTGCTGCCTGCAGATCTGAATGTAGCACCCTCATCTTCTCCAGCACCATGTCTGCCTGCCCGTCACCATGCTCCCTGCCATGAGGACAATGGACTAAACCTCTGAAACGGTAAGCCAGTCCCAACAAAATGCCTTCCTAAAGAGTTGCCATGCCCGTGAACAGGGGCCTATCTGAGGAGGTGAAAGCAGTGAGGAGCGAGCTGACATGGTAATGTCTGGGATGCAGCCAGAGCCCATGTCTGGGTTTATGATCACCAAAGGTAGAATAGAAGGGGCTGTGCAGAGTTGGCCCCGCCCCCTCACTGGCTACAACACTAATTGGTCCAATTGGTCCTGCCCCTCACTGGGCAAGGCACTCAGAAGAGCAGGTCCTACCCCTTATCTGGGCAGCACAATAGAGATGACCCTGTTCTCAGGAGCAGGGGCAAGCTGGTTTCAAGGGTGGGAAAATGAGAGAGCAGGTTGCTCCTGCCATGTGGTGTAAGAAAGATACCTCCCTCTTGCCCCTGGCCACCTGTAGCAGCTAGGGGATCTGATCCAACCCGTCAACAATTGCAGCACTCAGGAGAACAAATTCTCCACCTGGCCTGGGTAGCAGAGTAGAGTTGACCCTGTAGACAAAGGCATGGCTGTGCAAGTCCTGGGGGTGTGAGAGGGGCAGAGCTGGCCACATCCCCTTCATTTGTCATGTGGTGATAAGGATGAGGGAAAGGTGCCCTCCTGTCTGTACCCCTACCACCTGTGGTGGGTGAAGGAACTGACCCTCGCTCTTACCAGCTGCAGCACAATAGAAGTGGAAAGTGGACGCTGCACCTTGCCTGGGCAGCACAATAGAGCCAACCCCATTGGTGGAGGTATGGGCGAGCCAGCCTCAAAGTTGTGAGCATGGGAGAGCTGTCCCCATCAATCACCTGTCATGTGGCAGCATGGGCAGGGGAGAGATGCCCTCCCCCATCCCATCTGACCCCCACCCATCAATGCCTGAGGCAAGTGGGAGAGCAGGCACTGAGGTCATAAGAGTGCTCCTACTCTTATGTTCCTGCCCCTCTTCAGCTGCAGCACTCAGGAGAGTGGCCCCTATACCATGCCTGGGCAACACAGTACAGTTGGCCCTGAAGGAGTAGGCATTGGAGAACCAACCCTAAGGACTTGAAAGCAAGAGAACTGGCCCTGCCCCCTTGCTCTTCTCTGCAAGGGGTGAACTAGCCAGGACAATGCAGGAGAGCTCACCCCAGTGTTGAGAACAAGGGAGAGCTGGTGGACTGACCAACCCTGCAGACTTTAGGCCCAGAACCAGGGTTATGAGCTGGCTGGAACATGTGAAGGGACCAGTCCTGCAGACCCAAAGCCACAACATCTACACAACACAAGCCAACAACAGGATAACCAAGAGGAGTTCCAATGAGGGCTGAGCATCGATAGTATAATCGAAACCAGAGGCCTCAAACCAGACCAATAACTCTTTGCAGTGAACACTTGCATGTAAAGATACATGGAAGAAAGTGTTTACTGTTCACTGTGTCACACTACAGCTTCCATGATAAGATTGATTTTTCTTTTTTCCCCCCTTAAATTTTATTTTATTTTATTTAGGGAGGGGGTGCAAGGGCAAAGGTTAAATGCAAAGGGATGGGGAAATGAATGGGATGGAAATACGTGATGTGAAAGACACAAAGAATAAATAAAAAAGAAAGTTTAAAAAAGAGACATCACTTCAGCAAATATGTGTGTTCTTCCTGAGATATTCTTCACTGCCCAATAAATTAAAAAGCAGTGATACAAAAAGAAAGAAAAAAATGAATTGCCATGGTCATGGTGTCTCTTCACATGCAACATAACATTGGCTAAGGCAATGACTATGTTATCTATACAATGTAAAGCAAAGACCACTGGTACTTTTGGCTTTTTAACCTTCAAAGCTAGAGAAATTCTTATTTCCTTTCCAGCCATCAGTAGGCCTCCATACTAACTATCCTGGCTAGTGTTATGTCAACATGACATAAGCTAGGGTCATTAGAGAGGAGGGAGCCTCAGTTGAGAAAATGTCTCCATAAGATCAAGCTGTAGGCAAGCCTGTGGAGCATTTTATCAATTAGTGACTGATGTGGGAGGTCCCAGCCCATTGCAGGTGGTGCTATCCTGGGCTGGTTGGTCCTAGAGTCTATAAGAAAGCAGGCTGAACAAGCCCTGGGGAACAAGCCAGCAAGTAACACTCCTCCATGACCTCTGCATCAGCTCCTGCCTCCAGGTTCCTGGCCTGTTTGAACATCTGTCTTTATTTCCTTTGATAATAAACAGTGATGTGGAAGTGTAAGCCAAATAAACCCTTTCCTCCCCAAGTTTCTTTTGGTCATGGTGTTTCAACACAGCAATGATAGTGTCTGTGTTGAAAGGTCAAGCCAGACATGATAGCATACTTCTCTAATCCCACCACTTGAGAGGCAGAGGCAGGTGGATCTCTGTGAGCTCACTGTATAGTCAAGCCTGGTCTATATAGTAAGTTCCAGGACTGTCAGGTATACATTTTTTTTACACTTAGTTCATGTATGGGGGGCAGAGGATGACCTGTGCCATGGTGTGCATATGGTGATCATAGAACAACTTAGAAAAGAGTCTCTCCTACCATGTAGGTCCTGGGGGTTGAAACTAGGTCTTCAGCCTTGACAACAAGCATCTTTATCCACTGAGCCATCTCACTGTCTCCAAATGTTTGTTTTCTTTTGATGCTTAGAGTTTAGATTAAATATCCTGAAACAAGGCATTCTAAATTCTAAAGGAAATCTCCAAGACCCTCAGTTCCCATATCTCAGACATATGAATTCACTCTTGGAACAACTTTGTCCATGGCTACTATCAAATCAGACTTTGCCATGGTATTAAATGGGCTGCCTGTATCCTCAAGAGGGGAAGTTGTGCTGAGTTCCAGATACCATATGAGCTTCAGGTCTGTCTGCAGCCTGGATGAAATAGGCAGAGGATCTATCAGTTCAGTGGCCCTCAGAAAGACAGATTTTATTAGAAAGTAGAAAACAAAGGTGGCCTTTGAACAAATATAAACTGACCACTCTCTGAGAGCAGGCACTTTAGTGAACATAATGATAAATGATATCACAGTATAACATTAAAAAAAAATGAAAAGCCTGTGGGGAGAGCCAACTGCTCTGTGATTGGATTTGAGATACATTCCATGGGAGGGAATATACAACTGATCCTATAAATTTGTAAAAAGCATAGGGCTGGGAAGGGAATGGGTGGGGGATATACACTACCATTGTTTCCCTATACAAACATGTCAAACTGCATCCTAATAGTTATGTTTATACCCATAGACTGGTGGCTCTTAGCCTGGAAGAGAGAAGCTTCTTTTTGCAGGGAATGACAGTTAATGCAAAGACTCATATCTGATCAGAGTGCTGAGAATTAGTGGCTAATGGGTGTTCGGTGTTCAATGAGACACCTATTCCATAACTAGCCTCTGACAAGGTCCAGCATCGTAGAAAAGAGGATGGGAAGAATTGAAGAGTTGCCCTACAGGAAAGACTGTTGTAAAGCACTGCTTTTACAATATGGCATTGAAAGCCTGAGCACACAGCAGCTATGGATACTTGCAAAAGACCCTCAAACTTTCCATCACAGATGCAAGACTTGACCATGAGTTCCCATCTCTTCCTTATGAACTAGTTACTGTCAGTGGTTGCTAGAGGGGTGTGTGTCATTTTCTCTAATTGTATTGTCTCTGGAACACTAAGTAGGAAGAAATAGTTCAGAGAGAAAAGGAGGGGGACAATAGAGGGTTGTGGGGAT